TTCCATCATCCAAATTCTAACTTAGAGTCTGTTTTCTGCACATCAAGTTTCTGGACCTGAAGTGAGATTTGGTGGACCTTCACATGGCCATATATTCTCTTTCCCTAACCCCACAGTGATTTCACTCTACAATCAGAAATGCCTCATGTAGAATTTCAAGAGGTCCTCTGGCAGCAGGAGCCATATAACTCAAATGGCCCTTACCCATATGCTAAAAATATATATGTAATATGTCACCATTCACATTATATATGGCACAAGAGTGAAATTCCCAAACTTCTCTTATTCATACAACAAATCACTATACTTAAAGCCGGCCACTCATTAGAGTCATTGGAGAGCTGTAAAATACTGAAGCCTGGGCCTCCCGCCCCTGAGAAATTCTGATTTATCTGGTCACGTGTGGGGTCCAGGCACTGGGGCTTCTCAAAAGCTCCCCTGGTGATTCTAATGTGCAACCCAGCCTGACATCACTGTTTTCAAGGAAGTCATTTTACAAATTGATCATGATGGATTACTATGACCAAGTTCTCACTTGAGATAGAACTTAATAGAGAAAGTCCAAGGACATAAATTTTGGGATCTTCGAACTCTAGACCTCTTCTTCTTCTCCTTACTTGCAAAAATTGAATGATAGAACAAGTTCAGCACTAAATTCCGTGGGGTCTAGAAGGGTTTTTCTCTGCCATATCACAGATGTTATAGTGAACCTCAAGTTTCTCTTCAAAAAATCAGTATGTCAGTATGTTCAGCTCTCTTATTTTTTAATCCTCTATTTTAAAGTTTAACTTCTTTGTAGTTTCAGTAAACAACATTTACCACTAGTTCTGATTAGTATTTCACATCTGTTCCTCTGGTCTGCTTCCCCATTCTGACTCATTCCAGTCACCTGCTCCAGTCGCCTGCTCCAGTCACCTGCTCCAGTCACCTTCTCCGGTCACCTGCTCTGGTCACCTGCTTTGACCCCTGCTTACCTGGTCTGACCTGCCCATAACCATCCTTCCCACCAAACTACCCACCCCGCCACTCCAGCTTGTACCCCTGCTCCATTTAAAACAGCCAATCAGAATTAGACTAGACTGTGTGGTCTAATCCTAGCCAATAGGGGAACAACTTAGCAACAGGGGCGACCTCCACCAGGCATAAGTACCCCTTCCCCTCCTTGTCCAGGTGTGCACTCGCCATTGTTCCCTCTGTGAGCTGCACCCTTCTATAGAAGTAAATTACCTTGCTAAGGAAATTTATATTCAAGTGCTACTTCTTTTGCAGCACAGAAAATTCTACCTATAACAACAGAGCACAGCACTTCATACAAAGTGGCAATCAAGAGATATTCGTGGAATGGATAGGTTTTGTACCTACAGTTACATTCCCCCAGGGTGTAGCTATGGCAAAATTATAATGGGGCATCTTCAGGCCTTAACCATTTCAGGCTAGAGTGCTCACGGGGCCTTAACAAGCAGTACCAGGACTGGTGCAGTGGCTCACTTCTGTTATCCCAGCACTTTGGGAGGCTGAGGCAGGAGGATTGCTTGAAGTCAGGAGTTTGAGACCAGTCTGGGCAACATAGTGAGACTCTATCTTTACAATAATTACGATTAAAAATTTAGCCAGGTGTGGCGGTGCATGCCTATAGTCCTAGCTACTAAGGAGGCTGAGGTGGAAGAGTGGTTGAGCCCAGGAGTTCTAGGCTGCAGTGAGCTATGATGGTGCCACTGCAGTCCGGCCAGGGTGACAGAGTGAGACTCTGCCTCTAAAAGTAAAATAAATTTTTAAACAGGCAGTACCTCTCTCATCCCCACTTCCCAGCTAAACCCCAGATCCATTCACCTTCCAGTGCTCTAAGGAAATGGTTTTGATCTGCTCTACGTGAAATTTGTTGACTTGGCCAAATAGGTCCAGGCCTGATAACAGGATGCTGAAAAGGGTTTGCCAGGGAATAAGAAAACTGACATCTTTTCACATTTCAAAAGATAATCTGAGAGCAAAGGTTCTTTCTGTCTTGGCTTCTACTAAGCGCCCCACTGGAAACAATGGCTGCCCTCCTGCAGAGCTTCTCCTCGGGGGAGAGAGGTGTGTTCTCCTCCCCGACAGCTTCTACCCACTTGATTCACAGTTTAGAGAAAACTTGCAGCAATCTGAAGTCCCTGAGCAACAGCATTCCCTAACACAAATATATACAGCACAAAACAGGAACAATACACATTCCACTGCAGTGAGGAGAAGACTTTTCCCCATTTTAAAACCAGCTTTGCAGTTAGGTAAATGTAACAGTCTAGAGGACTGTCATCTATCTTTCAAGTTGTCCTTTCTTCTGGAAGTCAACAAAGTCAACCAACAAAATTATAGACTTCTGTTTCACTTTAGGGAAGTAAAGAGAAACAGAATTTGCAAGTCTGGAATTCACATCCATCATACACCTGTAACTTGGTACTAAGCATTCATTACCTCTGAGAAAAGCAGAAAAAAAGACAGACATCAGATCTGAACCAAAAATTTTGCAAATGAGTGAGTGAATATATGTATACTGAGTGAGAGAATATCTATACAGAATAATTTCCAGTTTTTTAATCGAAAATAATGTATGTTTATTATACAAAAGACAAGATACATGGCTTGACTTTGTTTATGGTACATTTGGTTGCTATTGGCATGATATCTATGGATAAAGTCAATTACATTAAGTAACCTAATTATAACATAGCATCATTGCAATAATAGTTCCAGACCTCAGTGTGGAACTTAGTTAAATATATACAGACTTAGAGTTAAATATACGCATACTTATAGTTAGGTAGCTCTGGAATCTTTCCCATTGGTCATTTTAGATCATGAAGTTATAATATAATAAACTATCTTCTCAGTTGATAAAGTTTCTTTGCTTGGCCAAACTTTAGTCAGCTTCCTGAATTTTCTCCTAGCCTCATCTGTACACTTCCTTGTAAAATCTAGTTTTACCAAAGAATTCTGCTGAGTCAGTTAACAGGAGCCTCCAGTAGAGAGTACTCAATAACTGATCACCTTCAGTAGCTGACCGGGTTCCTCATCCTCCACCATACCCCACGTGCTATCTCATCCCCCTGGCCTTTCCTCAGCAAGAATCCTGGAAGGTCGTCGGTTTAGCCAGAATCCCCATCCCCATTGATGTTTCCTCTTAATACTTTTCTATCCACTGATCCCGCCTTGTTCCTTAGCTACAAATTTTCACTTGCCCATGCCATATTCACAGTGGAGCCCAATCTCTCCCCTCACTCCCCACATAGGTCCTTATACCTAAATTGATGGTCCTGAATAAAGTCTTACTTATCATGCTTTAACAAGGTCATTGAATAATTTTTTTCTCTAACACAGTGCACTAAGTAGACACTGTGTAATTATTTACATAATACACTGCAATGCTATTAAGATAATTCTGTTAATATCATACTTCAGTGGAGTGAACAAAACCAGCATCCTAAATACCTAATTGAAACCTCCAAAAAACTTACTCTCAAAATATAGTTCATGTCAAGGAATGATCTAATTCGTTAACTGTACCTAAGATTTTGTCATCAGTTGTGATGTTTCAGACTTGGTGCTGAAGTACAGGAAAAATGTTCAGACGTGAAATTTTTAATCCATTCCATTTATTCCACGAGCATATATTAAGGACCCAGCATATACCATGGAACAAGCTCTGTGTTAAAGGAAGATTATTTTTAAATGAAGAGAACTCACAATCTAGCAAGAGAAAGAGATATGTGGGCAAATGTCATTTCACTACACTGATGTGACAAAGACTCCATAAGACATCCAAGTAAAGTGCTGACAGGGTACAGGAGGGAAACTCTCGCCTCCTCCTGAAAGGGTCAGGGGAGGCTTCTTGGAGGAGGCAACACTAGCACTTGGTCTTAAAGAATATGTGTTTCATGGACACAGGGAGGGTAACATCACACACTGGGGCCTGTCGGAGGGTGGGGGAGCTAGGGGAGGGATAGCAGGGGGTGGGGGGATTGGGGAGGGATAACATTAGGAGAAATACCTAACGTAGATGATGGGGGGATGGATGCAGCAAAACACCAAAGCATGTGTATACCTATGTAACAAACGTGCACATTCTGCACATGTACCCCAGAACTTAAAGTATAATTTAAAAATAAATCAATAAATAAGTGTTTGCCAGCAAGCAAGTTCAGAGGCTTGGCTGAAAGACAGCCACCTTGGGAAGGATGCATCAGAATCTTGGGGCTTGGGCAAGTGAGGGGTGGCAGGTGGTGGAGTACTTAGAAAATTCAGAGGTAGCATGCCTGTTCTTTTGTGGTAAAAACAACAGGCTAGAGGGAATCATGTGAGTTTCTGGGGATACACAAAAAGATAGAATGATCAAGCCCGGTAGGAAGCATGGGTTAATGTCAGAGAACTGAGTCCTAGAGAGACCTCCATTTTCTTCTGACATTAATTGGCAGTGGAAGAGGTTCCAAATCCCTCTCTATACATTTGCATAATAAAAAGCTGCTGAGCTGAGCCCTATGCTAGGGAAGCTCATTCTTCAGTGTGACTTCCAAAGGCACAGCCTCGCATCTCACCGTCTGTGACCTCATTTGCAGGCATATAGAACAGGGGAGTGATTTCAAAGCCTAAAACTTGCAGCCCAGAATCTGCCTTAACTATTTCTTATCACCAACTAAAGTTTACAGGTTTGAAAGAAAACAAAGTGCCCAAACCACCATAGATGTACTTTTTACCCCAGGAAAGCATCTTCCCAAAAGATGCAGCACGAATTTCTACGTGCATAGTTTAAGCGGTCATGTGCAGAAAAGCCTAAGAATGCAAATCTTTTTATTTAAAAAATCAACATGTAGCCTATGCACCATGTAAATGTTAGTTAAAAATGCGCTTCTCACAAATTCATTAGTGTGTGACTTTGCACATATTTAAGATTTGGGGGTTTCTTTTCCACCCAGGTGTGAGAGATGATAATCCAAAACACACGTGCAAAGGTACAGACGACAGCACCTTACCGTTAAAACTCGGGTGACACTCTGCTTCCAGAGCTGTCTCCTCCCAATCCTAAACATTGTAGCAGCGCGTGCAGTGCAGGGACTGGCTGGAGGCAGCTCTTCCGGAATGGTCTTCTAACTCCTGGGAGAACTGCTCAAAACCCAACAGGCTTCCGAATGGAAAGACCAGAATTTTACTTTCACGTTTCTAATTTGCATGTATCATTTACTACATTCACAGAATAAAAAGTAAAACTCTACTTATACCACTCAAGTGTTTCTCCTAGAGTCTGTTCCCTGGGCCTCTCCTCTTTCTCAAAGCCTGGTGTTGTTAGGGTAATATTGCTTATATACTACACAGTTAAACCATGCCTCTTAATCATGTTTATCAACCAATCAAAGCGTGTCAACTGCTCAGTAGCAACACAACTCCTTCTGTTGTTCAATTCATTCTGTACACTGTCCAACAATAAGCACTGAGTCAATAGAGATATCTAAATAGTTTCTTTGAACAATGAGAAACTTTAAACCACATTAAATTAGCAGAGAAACCACAGCTCTGAATATATTGTCCACATCAAGAAATTCAGTCTTACTTTGTCTAAGCAACTTTGCAAGCACGATGCACTGCCAGCATTGTGACTAATTGCCAGATAGGCTAATTGTGACCCAAAGGAGCCATTTTCTCCCCCATAAAGAACAAGAAGTCCATTTCATATGCAAATAACAAACGATGCCCATAAATTACCTGTGCTCACACAGTTGCACACACACATCAGCCAAGGCAATTTATTCTATGTAGCTAAACATCTTGATCATCCTAACTGTGAAGACGTAATGGGAAAACACTGCCAAATGCTTTCAGAGATCTCTCGTGTATGGTTTCTCCCATCAAGATGAGTAAAAGGCAGGACATTTAAGGTTGGCCTTGTTGAATCTAGAATTTAGGCCTTGGAATTCAAGGTCCAGTAACTCCAACCCTAAAAGGTCATCCAAGGATAATCAGGAAACTGGGGACTCATCCTGGTAATATCCTGCTACTCAACCTCAGTGGAGTCTGATGTGGAGGCCAGGGTGCTAACATGGTATCAGAACATGGGATATTCACCTGGTCAATATCCAATGCTAGGGCACAGCCTGCATATGTCAGGTTAACAAACAACATTTAGACCTGAATATTATTTGGTAAGCAAATAACTAGAACACAGGAAGTTCAAGTTTGTTTGCAGGACTTTTTTTTTTTTTTTTTTTTGAGACAAGGTCTCACCTGTCACACAGGCTGGAGTGCAGTAGCATGACCACCTCTCACTGCAGCCTCACCCTCCCGGGATCAGGTGATCCTCCCACCTCAGTCGTCCTAGTAACTGGAACTATAGGCAAGCGTCACAACACCCAACCAATTTCTGCATTTTTTGTAGAGACAGGTTTTGCCATGTTGCCCAGGCTGGTCTCAAACTCCTGGCCTCAAGTAATTGCCGAGCTCGGCCTACCAAAGTGCTGGGGTTGTAGGCATGAGCCACCAGGATATTTGTTAAAGTCAACCTCTGGGTGTTGGTAAGTGGCTGTGGTCCATTCTCATAAAGAGCAGTGAAAACAGTATCTAGATTCTGAGTCCCTCCTCTGGGTGGTGCTGAAAAGGCACCAGAGAACAGCAGTAGAATCGGATCCCCCTCACGTGGCACCTCCTATCAGTCCCAAGAATCCTCTGTCAACCCATGACCTCAGGACAAACATGTTGCAATTCATTACATCACTGATTATCGTCCATTAGTTACATTTAAATCGGCGCTTCCCTGATGGCATTTTAGGCACCATCTTCATTACATCAGCAGCAGCCCATTTACAACGCAGGGCTCCGGGAGAGGTACTTCCTGGGAAGATTTCCACAGATGGCTGATGGCATGCATTTTGTGTTTGGCAGGCATACCGTGACTCTCTTGAGGCTTCACAGCAAACTGCAAAGTCTTCCAGCCTCTGTGGCTGAATTTCAACTCCTCTGGCCAAGGTAGATGGTGTCTTAAGGGATCTTCTTGAGAGTCTCAGGCTCACTGGAAGTTGTTGAACAATACAAACAAAGCAAAGCCAAGCCTGAGTTTACAACAGGCCACCTACCCCCCAGTCCCTGCCAGAACGCAAGTTGATTTCTGGTATTTGGAGGGAAATTATCAAACACTGCTCAGAAGGAAAGTCAGGAAGGCTTTCCTACCAACAGTTTCCACCAGGCACAAGCTTCAGCTGGCAGGGCTCTGTGCACAGGATTCATGCGAGGGAGGTCTGCAGCCCCATCTGGGTGGATAGTGCATCTTTCCAGGCTGAAAATATTGGTCATTGACAAATCCTGTCAGATATAATGGGAAAGCAAGAGTAGACAATGGACCTCATGTGGGCAGAAGGCTTCATCCAGAAATCCATGTACCTGCAGGCAAAGTTTAAGGATCCACTTTCATTCATTGAACAAAAGCTTGTGAGTGCCTTTTATGGAGCCAGACACTGTGCTATATACTATGAATAGACAGCTAATAAAAACAGACATTTACTCAGACATTTAAAAATATTAACTATAGACTGCATAATTATCCTGTGCAACACTCAGAATGAAAAACTAACGCTGCCTATTAAACACATCCATTTTAAGGTCCATTCTGATTTCACAGATGTTAAAATATAAAAAAATGTACATCTCCTAAAAAATAAAAAAAATGGTCATTCTTGCATTTACTGGGGGATGATACTAAGCAAATATATAAATGAATGTGTAATTACAAGTAAAATATTATAAATTTTGATAAGCGTCTTATAAGAAAATAAGGCACAAGCTTTACTTGGACATATGTTCTGAATCATTATTATTTTATGCTTACAAGTGTAAAATTTTCTAAACTCATCTCTAAATTATGGAGTCATCTACTCTGCATCTTGAAGCCTTGAATGTAACCTGTGCCATGTGGCTCAATAGAAAAGTGCAACCTTGGGGTCAGGCAGACCTGAACTTAAATCCCAGCTATGTGACATCAGAGATTTTGTCTCCTAAATTAGACGTCAAAAATAAAAGCACTCACCTAACAGACTGGTAATGATTTAAATACATTTAAAACTCCTGGATCCTCATAGGCACCTAATACATGAAATAAATAACCACATTTTTTATCTGCACAAGAGTTATGACTATATTTAATGGCGATATCTATGGAGAGGACAAATTCCTAAATCTTAACCTAACCCACAAATTTCAGTCCAGAGCCATTTGAAAATTTTGCTCTCAATTTCTGAGTATGTCCCAGCAAAAGAGTGTATCCAAGTTTCATCAGTTACTAGCTACTCGTTTTTCACGGATTTCCATCTCTAAGAATGTCTTACTGAGGCCCAATGGGATCAAACATATTCATCAGTTTAATAGCCTTGTAAACAGTGATACAAAGAACAGCATATAAAAATGGCAAATGAGTTCAGTGGGATGAATGAGTACCATATTTCTCCCATTCTGCATTGTACATTTGTCTTCAGGCTTTACCATATTGAAATGTGATCATTCCAAATGCAATATGATATTGCATCATATATTCAATATCCTCTTATAATGGCTATTGGCCAGACAAAAATCATGACATAAGTGTCCTTACCAGAGCTTGTGCACACCCAGCTGTCACCCAAGTAGTATCACAAAGCCATAACAATACCCGGAAGTTACAGCCAACAAACCAGGGAAGGTCCATGTGAGGAAGGAATGTGTGTCCTGGTTGTTTTCTAAAAATCTTCACTGACGCTTTCTGGGAAGATCAAGAAAACACCAGCACTGCAACTTACAGGAAGGATGTTAGTGGAGTGGAAGAAAATCCCAGAAGAGTCAGACCCTACATGTGAAAAAGTTTTAGAAGTTTCTGAACTAATTCATTGCACTTATCTTTGTATGAATGCACAGGGATAATATGCAATTTTTTAATATCTATGTTTAAAAGAGCTTCTTCAATTAAAATAAAATTGAAATTCTAAAGAAAGCTATGAATCCTACTTTAATGGACAGATGTTTTTCCTTCTTGGTGGTGAATGACCCAGTGATGTGTTTCATCTGATGATGGATTGGTCAGATGAATACAGTTTTTGAGTTCTAATGATCAAAGAAAATTTTTTGGAGAAGGGAGAATTTAAGGCAAGCCCTAAAAAAGGGTAAGTTTCATACATAGGAAAAATAGAATGTAACATGTGAAAAATTATCCTGGAGACTGGAATTCAAGAGAGCCCATCTTGTGTTACAGTTTTAAGTAAAAATGATTGATTAATCTCTGAAAGGTATGTTGAGGCTGAATGGTGTGTGTCAATCTAAGGTAGTGGCCATCGCAGGCAGTTAAGGAGTCATTGAATTGACAAAAATCTTGTTTAGGAAGGTTCCACTGGTATTATAGCTGCACACAGGTAGGGCTGAAGTGGAGAGAGACTGAAGACAGTCTCCTGGGCATGAAGAAATAAAGAATTCAATAGAGGGGTGGAAGCCATGGTCACCTAAATCACCTAAAAATGAATACACATGGTCAGGTATGGTGGCTCACGCCTGTAATCCTAACACTTAGGGAGGCCAAGGCGGGCAGATCACAAGGTCAAGAGTTCGAGACCAGCCTGGCCAACATATTGAAACCCCATCTCTACTAAAAATACAAAAAATTAGCCAGGCATGGTGGCAGGCACCTGTAATCCCAGCTACTCAGGAGGCTGAGGCAGGAGAATCACTTAAACCTGGGGAGCAGAGGTTGCAGTCAGCTGATATCACCCTATTGCACTCCAGCCTGGGTAACAAGAGCGAGACTCTGTCTCAAAAAAAAAAAAAGATGAATAAATTCACAATCTAAATAAAAGGAGCAAGTCCCCTTGTCCCTGTCCAATATTTTGCTGCCCCTAAGCTGCTCCTCTAGAGAAATTCTGATTGAAGAAGGAATGGGAAAGAACAGATAGAACAAACAAAAACAAAAACAAAAACAAAAAAATAAAAACCACAAACAACTTGATGGAACTTAGCAACTGGTAGCAGAGAAAAGGATACCGTTGTCAGAGAGGACTCCATGTTTCCCAGCTTGGGTAAAGAATCAACATAACCTAAGCAGAAGTACAGGAATCTAGAGAAAGTACATTTTGGAGACTAGATGACCAAGGAAATGTGAATAAAGTGCTAATTCTTTACTTTTCCTTTTGGTCTTTCCATCTTAAAAGCATGAAGGCCAGTATGATTATATGCAAAACCAAAACCATCCAGTATCTTTTTCTTTATACTATAATAATTTAAAAACTCATAATAAAAAGGAAGTAAAGGAACCAATAGTATTGATGCCATAATCATCTGAGCT